CGAGGGCAAGCCCCTGTGCAGCGGCCGCGGCGAGTGCAGCTGCAACCAGTGCCAGTGCTACGAGAGCGAGTTCGGCAACATCTACGGGCCCTTCTGCGAGTGCGACGACTTCTCCTGCGCCAGGTACAAGGGAGTCCTCTGCTCAGGTAGGAGCCTGTTCCCTCCCTTGGGCCCTTGGCGTCGTGGTCATGAGAAAGCTGCCCCAAAGTGGGGCTGGAGTGTGCAGGGAATCTGCCCTGTTTCTGCAGGAGTCTGTGCTCCCTTTCTGTTCCTTATGGGAATGAAGAGTGAGAGGTTTAGAGGCAACTACAAGTAAGAGCAAAAATTGCATTATCCCCTATTGCGGTGTGATGTAATAGCCTGTTTCAGTCATCCCGGTTCCTTCCCCAGGTGTGCCAATCACCTCTCCCTTCCCCTCCCTTGCCCCTGCTGAGTGCTGTCTGTCAGTCTTGGCATCCAGAAAGGGCAAAGTGATTGGCAAAGTTCAAAAGATGCCTCTCAGCTCTGGGGGACATTGGGCCATCCAGGTGTCATTTGTCCTCTGAGACTCCCCCTCTTACCTGGTTGGTGGCACACCTACCCCTTCCCTCCCCTTCTCCCCGGGGTTAAAACACACAGCAACCACTTGGTTTGGGGTTCTGCTGGAGCTGTTGCTGGATTCAGAGGCCTGTGGGCCAGGCATAAAGCTCTGGATTGAAACCCTCCAGTAGAACCGACTCCTTTCCTTCACCTCGCCTTGAAGCCTCTCTGCCAGAGGTAAACCTGAGCTCCTGCAGGCCTGGACTTGTCCCAAGCGCCCAGCTGCAATATCCAGCCAGCCAAAGGTGTCTCTGAGGTGAAACCACCACAGCTGCCACCTCTGGTCAAGCAGCAAGGGCCAGACGAACCCAAGCACGTTCCATCCAGCAATATTGGTATTAAATCCCAATACCCTTGGGCCCTCGGTGTCGTGGTAGTGAGAAAGCTGCCCCAGAATGAGGCTGGAGTGTGCAGGGAATCTGCCCTGTTTATGGAGGAGTCTGTGCTCCCTTTCTGTTCCTTGTAGGAATGAGGAGGGAGAGGTTTAGAGACATCCACAGTTAAGAGCAAAAATGGCATTATCCTCATCAGAACTGGGTTTCCAGCATTGGAGTCAAAGGCTATCTCCCTGCATGTCAGGATCTCTAGCTTGTCAGAGTGACTCCAAGAAAAGTTCGAAAGTCTCTTTTCCCAGCCCGGCACTCGAAGAAGGAGTCAGAGCTCTTCATTTCTCCGTCTCAAGGTTGTTTATTGTATCTTATCTATAAAATTCTTTCTCCTGTCCTGCCAAGGTCCATCCGGCAGGACAGTTCCAGGCACTCTGCCTGCCCCCGGGGCAGTGTTATGTCTTTATACTAAAAACTAGGTATACAATGTTTACAATTACTTTCCAATACCTATCACCTTTGTTAGACAGTGAGCATCTACTCTAAACCAATCTAAAAGTGCCAGCATCACAGCAGAAGATGGAGGCCAAGGAGAAGGGCTGGACATGCCCAGTTCCCTCCATCTCACCCCCTGAACCCTCATACCAGAAACCCTAAAATCTATTTTTCCACCCCGTGATAACTTCACTATTATTCTACCTAAACTGTTTTGGCTTGCTGATCTTCATAGAAGGTTGGTAATTTGCTCCATGGGTCATAATCAAAACCACAGGTGTTTTGGGCTCCATGCCAGGGCTTCTGAGCCTGGACAGCCAGAGGGATGTCCTGGGTTCCCACACCTGCATCCCACGGAGATGAGCAGAGTCTTGGCTTTGGTGTTGTTATTTTGATGTAACTATGCACATCTCTTGCACACTGTTGTTTCCCCAGGAAAGAGTAAACCAGCACTGGCTTGAATCCCCTGAGGCTTTTTTGGTGTTGTCATAGATTGGATTTTTCCTTTGTGTGCCATCCTTCCCTGCCTAGGCAGAAACAATCTTCTTTTAAAGATGAAGTATGTGGTGTAATCCCCTGGTGCGTGACAGGTGAAAGGAAAGATTGTGTTTCAGGCTGTTACTTATTAGAGAAAAGCCGTATTAAAGATTCCTAAAGCTGTTTTATGTATGGATTTTTCTCCCACTGGGAAAACAAGTCATTCAGTGGGGAAGCTGTAGCCAGTCAGCTTTGCTCAAACAAAGGTACATGAGTTATTTAGCTGTGTTTGCTAAAATGGTTTTAAAACCTCATCAGTCCAAGGTCAAATAATTTACCTTGAACATAATTGCCTGGATTAGCCCTCAGACATAATTCCCTCAGTTGGATCAGGGCAAAAGGCTGTTCTTTAAAATTTGCCTGCTTTCAAGCAAGTAAAATATTTCCGTAGCGGAAAACCTTGGATGAAAATTCCAAACAAGTGTAAACTTGGAAAAAATAGTTACTTTTTATGTTTTCTCCAGGGAAGTGGTGTTTTTTCCACTGCTGTTTATCTTCCCCTGCATATTTCAAAGTGGGGCAATAAACTGGTTGCAAGTTTCTGCCTGTTTGAGGCGATTATGTTTTTAGGTGGATAGAGGATGTTTGTGTTAATTTTCCTGCAGCCTGGTTAGTGATTTTGTCAGTGCTGAAGATGAAGCAGGCAATGCTCTGGGTTTGGAATTGTTCTGGAGATTGGATCCCACTGGGATCCAATGGGAAAGGCCAGTTCCACCCTGACAGGGACTGCCCAGACTGGGGGTCTGTGGGGCTCTCCCTGCTGGTGCATGAGTGGAAAGATGCGTGAGCAAGCACAAAAAAAGTGTTTGAAGGTAGAAAGGGGGAAAAATTAAAATCAACTGTGAAGTAATTAGGAGCACTGCTGCCTGGGAGTTCTCCAGACGACCACATTGCTTTGATAACATCATCCCACCCAAAAGAGAGAATATTTAAAAGCAAGCAGGGCATCAGTGCTATAAAGAGAGGTTGTAAGTTACTGGTGGAGCAGTTGCTGCAAGAGAAGGACTCACCTCTGCTCAAATTTCCTTTCCAGCAGGAGGGCTAGAGCTCTGCTGCTCCACAGGAAAGCAAGTTATGTATCTTCTGCTGCACCTGCTTGCCTCTGTCCCTGTGGAGGATGTCTGGTGCTGGGAAGCACATCATAGCTGGTTTGGGATTTGCTGGAGGTTTTAAAATTCAAAAGTCCTTTTTATAGCTATGAAGGAAAACAAAGGGTAGGCTGAGGCCAAGCAAGCTTTTTGCTTGAGGGGTAGGATGGAGTCTGGCACGGCTGCATGAATTGCGATGCTAAATCTGAATTGTAGCAAGCACTGTGCCAGTGACAAAGCATTTTGAGGTGGTTTTGTCAGGCCAGGAGGTTTGGGATTTCCCAGCCCACCACAAGCTTGCATGGCAGGGCTATGCCCAAGGCTGCCCCTAACAAACAGCCCCGTGCCACCCAAACAAAGCAGACCATGCTCTCTGCCCCCTACAAATGGGACCTTTTTAAAAAAGAAACAGGTTTTTAACTCAGCACTGATAATCTGTCCTCCAGCACATGTAGACTTGGAAGCCAGAAGGGTTTGGGTGATGCCTTGGGGGCAGGTTGATTCTCAGGGCAGTCTCTGCAGTGGCTGGTTGCTGTTTTTGTTGCTGCTGGGGGTGAAATGACACCCTGCCCTCACTCTGTCATTTCCTGGGCACAGTGTCTGTCCCTGAGAGGCTCTATCATCCCTGTGCCTGTCACTCTCTGGGGGGAGTGCAGGTTTTAGCTAAAGCAAAAACCAAAAAAGCAGAGTGTAGGAGATGTGATTTTCCAGCAGATTATTGTCTCTGTCCTTGCTTGGGAATTTCTTGGCTTGGACCCATGAGGGAAACTCATCACTGCTGTCAAGGGTTTTGTTTATACTCCTTGAATCCTCTGGTTGCATAGAAGGCAGTCACTGCCTCTCAGTGCATTTTTTATGACTGCCTGTGCTTTGAGCAGCCTCAGGTTTAGCACACAGGCTGTGGTGTCCCCCATCAAAGGCATTCACACCTGCCCCAGCTGTTGAACAAGTTGATGCCATGAACAGGAGTGCCCATCCCACACAGAGCTGATGAGAAAACAGCCAGTCCAACCTGAGCTGAGGTTCTGGGGAGCACCAGGAGGAGAGCACAGATTTCTGAGAAGTAAAAATCCTCTCAAGCAAACTGCTTTGCACTCCCATGGCTGTGGCATGAGCCCATCACCCATCTGTGCAGGCATTTCTTCCTTTTATGATCTGCATAAAGCTGTCCCCATTGAGTCACTGCCATGGCACAGGGATGGGTGGCATGTTATGCTCAGGCATCCTGTATTCCCAGCAGAAGCCAAGTGGGGTGGAAATACTCTGAAATAAACTTGTTTCTTGTCTCTTGGCATTTGGTCCTTTGGCTAGGAAAAAAAATTAATTCCTGAGTCTGTTTATAAATATTGGAGCCTCATTTTTGTCAGCATTTGAGAGGAGAGATGCCTGCAGACAGTGCTGTCGATGGCTCCAGTCCTTTTGTAGTCCCCCTCATGAAGTGGAGAAGCAGATTTTGGGTGAGAAAGAATCTAAAGAACCAACAAGATTTAATTCTTGTTAGTGGGAGGTTTAACGTGCCTCCTGCATCTGTGAGGGAAGTGGGGAAAGGGAGTAATTTATAATCTGGAGTAAATGTTAATTCCAGTTGCATCCAACTCAGAATCAATGTCACTTAGTCACTAATAAGTGGCATTTGTTCTGCTGCCCCCCAAGGCCAGGTAACAGCTCTGGAGCAGCTGTTTCAAGCCATTAATCCAGCTTCTGGAGAGGCCATAGGGGATGGGTTACACAAGTGTTCTGTTCTTACAAAAGAAATTCAACTGGGTTATCTGCAGCACTGTGCTCTGACAAAGCAGGCAGAGGCTTCCCAAACCCTCAAATGCTTTACTCCCAGTTTTTCTTTGGGTGGAGAGGTTGCCTTTTTGCATTGAGATCTTCGACACATCCCTCTGTCCCCTCTGTTCTGAAATGTGGGTGGCTGTGGGAGAGGGCAGAAATCCCTCCTGCCTGCAGCTGGGCTGGGGAAGGGGCAGCTGGCTGCACAACCCACAGGCTTTTGAACTCCTTGGCTGCCTGCCAGGCACTTTGACAAAGGAGGAAACATCTCTGCCCTAATTGCATTCCTGAGGGTCCCATAAAACAAGGTGGCAGGAGGGAGGAGAGGCCCCAGTAAGGGCATCA